TGTCGGAAAACAATATTGAGAGACGATTTAATGCATTTTCGGTGTCGAGAATAGCGCTGTCTAGAAGACAATCAAGGCAATTGTTATCAGACGAAACAACAAGGAAATTTCTGTTTATCGATGTTCTGTTTTTCTTACCGATGTAATTCGAAACAAGCAGCTATGTGTTTCTTCTCGCTGATAGAATCAGTAAACAGAATAACTGCATAATTATCCGGGTCACCGAAATGCTTAATAATACGTTTTCCATCAAAAATATGTTTTGCGCATTGAAAACTAGAAGTCCAAGTGAGAGGCAACGACAACGTCAATTTCCTTATTATTATTGATACGAAAAAGAACATGATAGATTGTAATACGTAAATGGGCTCGGCACTTCGGAGAGGAAACTTCTTCAGAGAGAGGTGCAACGATGTTTAATCATCATAAATCGAGATCAAGGAGTGATATCTGCTAAGCCTTTAAAGACATTATTTCTACCTGAATACATATGAAAGAGAATAACAATCGAAGATTTCTGAACGATATACATTTTCTTTCAATAGGACTTGTCTCCGATGAAACGTACCGGATAATCCCTCGAAACCTCCATTGACACTGTTGAATCGTCACTAATGTCTCGAACAACTTTTGCATGTTTTTTTGTTTTTTACATGTTAATCAAGATCTTGTAACCCATCTCACAGCACACCATACATAGCAATTGCAGTTCTTGATTGTATCGCGTTGAATAATGCATTTCTAATGGATTAATATGATTTGAATCATAGCATCTCAGGAGCCATCTTATTCAATATAAATCGTCGGACTGATTGAGATCCTTTTATTCTCGCTAAAACAAATCCATTATGTTAACATCGACCATAACATCAATTACAACTAAGATCTGGTTAATACATGCGCCTTGCAACAAACATTCAAGGTCTTAATCTCTTTTTCAGTTCGATGATTACTTTACCATGCACAACTGTCTAGCTGATTTTTACCGAAACATTTGCTCGAATACATCTTCTCTAGGGTAGTCTTGTCACAAACAGAAGATTCCCATTCGACATGTTTATTTTTGTTGAAATATGCTATCTTGTCTAATGCATCACCTTTGAAATCACGTACATGTTTGCCTTAGAGACGTATATTTATTAAATAAATAAAAGACAGAATCGGGTTAGTAGAAGAATCAGCAGATGCATATTTAGATTCACAATATCGATAATTGACCCTCGTTCCGATACTTGTGCGCTCGTTACTTCGAGCCACAGAAAAAAAAAGTAATATTCTTTCTGTTAGACTAATAAATAATATATTGACATACTTCTTTTCAATCATCGGAGTACTCGTCGATTCTAGAATGATAATTCTTTTTCCAGTGCGAAGATTTTCATTTATCAAAATATAATGATAATAAAGAGAGACACAAACTTGCTCTGTTTATTAGTTGACTCGTTGTCGACATTGTTTTGCCAGTCGGAAGTCTTTTGTATATGTCGAGCTTAATTAAAAATTAATCAAAAGTCAAACAAAGACAACTTATCACGACTAATACCAATCGTCGGTATGGTTGGTGTTATTTTCCATCAAACTCTTTCAATACCTCTTCACGTCTATAAGAAATAAAAACGGGGAGAAAAACGTGGAGAAAACATCTCACAAACATGTGTAATCCTCTTGCATTGACCATGAAAGGAAATTCATGCATATGGTATCAGGCACACTGTCTGACGTGTTTTATTTTACACTAGAACATATCTGATAAAGTAAACAAAAACAAAGAGAAACGAAAAAAACGAAAACGAGATATCATTCACCGAAGAACTTCAATGTCTGATGTTCACTTACACAACGCATACAATCGGCCGGTTTGCTTCGTAGACAGTAGTACAACATGAAGAGAATTCGATGTCATCACTAAATTTTATGTAGATATACTTATCGAGATTCGATTTCTCCTCAATACCTGGGTAGAACTTTAACCGCATTGAGTTCGCGAAGAAACTGAAGAACATCAGCATCGACGGAAGGTTTACTTTTCTTCGCCGACAATGAGGGTACTTGGTGATCATCCGAGGAGAGTTTGCGTTTGTTAGTATCGATTATAGATAGTGGAGAAGACTTTTGGACTGTACATTCAGAATCGAGTAATTCGCAAACGCGTGTATAAGTTCGTTTGAGGAGTAATTGTGTAAACAATGTTTGTGAACGTTGTCGACGAAGTTCTTTTTGTTTGCTTGTTGTTAAGTCCAAGACATGACGGGCTTCTGAATAGTCGATATCGGAGACGAAATCACCGACGGTAAATGAGAGATTTTCCGTTTGTTGTGGCATATTGAATAAAAGATTCGTGTTAACTTGTTTTGTGTATGTTAAAAATGTGAATGACGGATAATGGCGTAAGATGGAAAATGCACTGATGATGACAAAGATGTGTAGGTCGTTGAGTCATTTAAATATCATCAACATGGAGGACGAGAGACAAAGATGGCGAATAGATTCGTTTTCCCCGAGTGATTATACATCGATGGATGAGATCTAATTTTTTCTAATTTATTTTTAAATAATTTTGTAGTTTTGAACATTTCCACATCAAGCGCGACATCTATCGAACACTTTCATTTGCGTCGTATATTCACTGTTGGAGCGATAAATGGCTAATCGTATACAGCAACCTCATATAGCAGTTTCTAATAGGTATGACAGCCGAGCCGATGGAATAAATAACATTTTTGTGCTATAGAGCAACATTCTAACTATCATAGAGAGAAACTAGCTGAATTCAAATGAATACCATTGCATTGATACGATTTATCGTGCTAGCTGTTTGTATAGTTGTAGTAACAGCCAAAGATTATTATGAAATCTTAGGTGTCAAACGAGATGCAAGTGAAAAGGAAATAAAACGGAAATTTCGCCAGTTAGGTATGCGGTGTAGAAGATACATTTTCTAGCGAGCTAATCTCTTCCTGTCATTATTTAGCTTTAAAATACCATCCGGACAAAAATAAAGATCCAAAAGCCGAAGAAACCTTTCGTTCTATAGCAGAAGCATACGATGTGTTGGGTAATCCGGAGAAACGCCGACAATACAATGCTCAAGGACATCAATCGTTTACCTCCTCATCTCAGCATGGAGGTTCTCACGATTTCAATTTTAACATGCACGACTTCTTCAAAGAATTCGATTCTTTCCACCAAGCTCATCACAATGCTCATCATCATGCTCATCATCAAGCTCATCAACGTGCCCATCAACGTGCACATCAACAAGCACATCAGGGCTTTCACTTCGATTTTGGCTCGCTGTTTGATGATGATGATGACTTCTTCGGAACGAATATTCACAGCTTCGGCGGAGATTCTTTCGGCTTTGGAAATCTGTTCGATGGTTTTGGTGATAGTCACCACACAGTGTCGAAACACTCGAATCAACATTGTCGAACTGTAACCCGACGTGAAGGAAATACGGTATCAACAATAACCGAGTGTCATTAGAGTATATCTGTCAGAGAAATCTTGTTCTATTTATCTGGGCTTTTTCAACCTTCGATCAATCCTCTCTATGTAAATTATTGCTCTCTTTTTTTTCAACAATCATGTCGTACTGATCGCGTCTGAAAGAAGTAAATCGATGTGATACACGAGAATTCATACATTTCATTTGTTCGTGATTTGGATAACTTTACTATGAAGTATAGAAAAAAATTTTTAAAACTGCAGTTATCACCATATATAGCACACGTATGTACAGAAAGAAAATCGGAAGACACCGATCAAAGGGAGTCACATCACTTACTTTTTTTAAAACTTGTGTCTAATTGCATGATCTTAGTTTGCATCATATTTTGGAGTTCATTCGATTATCAATAATCATTTTTTGCTTTTATGCCGAAAAAGCGAAGTTGACGATGGCTGACTGCTCGTTCCTTGATTCAATGATCGCGGTGGTGTGCCGTATTTGTACCGAAATGGTTCATTCATGTGCCTTTTATTAATTTCCGTTTCACGCCAGTCGTCCATGAGCTGATTATGAGTTACACTAGTTGCACTGCTTACAGTGGAACGTGTGTCGGATGAGCAATTGTTCACGCCTGCCTTTTCAGCCTGTTCTCGTATATAACGTTCAGCTGCACTTAGGTTGTTCCCTGCACCCGGCGGCTCAGAAATTAACCGTGGTCGTGAAGGAGTGGTGGAAGGTGGATGCAGTCTATGATGAAAAAGGCATAGCATGTGTTATTAAACGTAAACGAAGTTAAGCAAGACGTACGGTGGCGTTTGTTGATTTGTGTTTTGTGCCATTCGAACGTGTGCACGTGAGTAGATGCGTCGTAAAAGTTACGATGTCTAAGGATAATCGAATGTTTAAGAGGTGCGGTATTTACGTTCGAAAAAGAACAAAAAAAAGAAGTGAATGAAAACTTTTCTTCTACGTCTTTCGGTTTTATCGATAAAACCTGTTCTTGGATTTTTCCTTTGAGCAACAATAACTGTCTACGCCTATTTCGTCGGTATTATTATTTCATAATTTACAAGCAATAACTTCCATAATTACTGAGCTTACGACTAAATGATTTTCAAGTTATTTCATCATCTGCTAACGGGCCTTTTCTCTTGTCCTTCTACCAAAGGAAGGAAGTAAGCGAATCCGAAAGATTACGAAACATAATCCATCTCGCGTATCAATATATACCGACAAGTATGGACACATACACCAGATATTGAATAACAAAATTGACTTTTATAAAAAATGAAGACACGAGTTCTGTTTAGTCATTGATGAAAAGTAAAAAGGTATTGTTGTAAACGCGATGGTCAGATCACATATGTAATATGGTGTTTGGTGACAAAAAACATGTCAGTCGACTTTCGTTCAGTTCGCTTATATTCAAAGAAGAATTTTTGTTTTCATTGAACAAATTCATCGTATACTTCTTTTTTTGGTTATTGTCGTCATGCTGATTTTGCCCACAAGAATAAAAGACAGAGGGAAAGGAAAAAACCGAAAAAAAAGTAGGAATTTCATCGCTCACAACGAACAAACAAACAAATAGAGAAGAAAAGAGAAAAACTATGCGATCTTGCTGATAATCATCGTGGAAAGTATGAAGCCAATTTGAAAGAAAGAAGAAAAAATGAAACAAAAACGCGGACGAAAGCATAGCGCAGGACAACATTAAAGAAAAAACACGGTTAATACAAGGATGACTTCTCCTCATCCGCTCGAACATGCTGACGACAAAAGAAGAAAGAAAAATGAACGTTATAGTTTATCACGAAAAAAGTTAGACATGCGCATAGAGGAACGAAAATAAAGAAACGTAGTCTGTCGACTGTTTGTTTTTTACAAAAAAAAAAAAAGAAAAAGAAAAGAAGAAAATAAAAGAAAGAAAAACTTGGAATAGCTGATAGGTCAATCAACATCCCATAAAACGTATTTATATCAGTGAATGCAAATTAATTCACGCTAGAAAAAAGAAGACTATAGATAAACTAATTTATCTTCACTTCGTTCGATGATGTGATGATGATTGTTGAGTTGAAGGTTTGCCAGATGTTTTATCATTACCATTACAATTTGTATTTGTTGAATCAATTAAGAGATTTGTCGTTACACTTGACGACGCATCAGCTAATGCATTGGCTGGGGACGAGGTACCACTAGGTCGTGGTGACGACGAGCCACTATTAGAAGATGCTGTGCCACTCGAGCCAATGCCCGACGTTAAGCCCGACGATGACGGATGCAGTTGTTGCCATGGAGGCATAATCTCATTACTTTTATCTAAGCGTTTCGCTTCTTCGAATGTGATTTTCTTCTTATCAGCAATCAATTGTTTGGCTAGAAAGAAATCGATCAAGAAACCTTTCGTCTCTTTCGTTACTTTGGATTACCTTGTTCGATCGTTGATTTTCCTCCTTCAAGTGTGCCAAGCGGTAATTGGCCACTTGGAGTTAAACCTTTCAGTGTGAGAATATCTTCACTTTGTTCTCTGAAATACATGATTATTATTAATATTTGCATATTTTTGTTTCGTTTGAACTTCTCTGTTTTACCTCAATGTGGCAAAATAGCGAACCATCTTTCCGATCGCTCGTACTTTATTTCGTATCACTTCTTTGCGTGCAGCTAATGCAGCTAAAATGGAAAAATAGACGAGAAAAAATGTGTCATCCTCTCGAGAATAGCTGCTCATCTTCTTACCTTCACTTGTCACATCTACTAGAGAAAAAAAAACACAAGAAAAGATCATCTAGCCTGTTGAAAAGAAGATTAACGTACCTTCGTCAATCGGTTCATTATCATTTCCTAATTCTTCATCAGAACAAATATTGAGAATATTAGCAAGCATTTCAGTAACTAAAACATCAGAATGACTTCGATTGATTTGACTTAAGTTCGTCAGCATACCTTTTTCACCAACGAACGGCAAACTCCATGTAAAAACATCCATGAAATTGGGTAACCAATACGGATGGGGCGAACAATTAAATTGACGAATATTCATCACGTTATTTTCGTATTTAAGAATAGCAGCTTTATTATTATAAACATCGAGATAATTGGGCGCAGAGAATATAGTAATCAAACTGGGAAAACCGGTACTCTGACATTTTTTATACATACGATAACTATTAAAACGAAACAAGTACATGCAGATGTAAGGAAAAGTGCTTCTCTATGTTACCCTGCATCTTGGGCTTCGTGAGCACGGATAATTGATAACAATTGATTATTTTGTAAAAAATCACAACATGCGGCATAACTATTTTAAAGAAAATGACATGTCAATTATTGAAATAAGCTGACCTACAAACATACCTATAAAAATAAGAACAACCTCGTACTGTATTGTGACTATACTGTTCAGTCGTTCGTTCAGTACCATAATCTTCGAGAGGATCGGACCTGATCAGACAGATTCAGAGAAGGAATACAAAGATAGCAAGTTTATCGAATTTTACCATAATAAATCGCACATCGGTCCGTATGGAGGTGGCTCTTTGAAACGATCGAGTCTTTTAATATCTTCGAGAGTATGGATTTCAGGTGAAAGACCACCGTGTACACATAAGAATTGACCGTTCATCAGAGCAGCTAAAGAAAGAAATCGATTTCATCAGGTGCAACAACGAGACACAAAAATAGATCGAATTTTTCTCTATGTCAACTACTTAGACTTATTAATGAAGCTGAAAAAGTTTCTATATAAAAAGAGAAGTACGTTTCATAAGAGCGTTTTTTCTTACCAAGTGGTAAACAATCAAATGCTTCCATACATGCATTGTACACACGTTCGGTATATTTTATTTTACCTGAATATATAAATCCATAAACATACGATCGAAATAAAAACATGTGAATCATCGACTTACACTCAGTTTTAAAAGTAAAATATTCGGTTAAATGTCGACATTCATGATTTCCACGTAGAAGAAAGAATGTTGTGGGATAGAGAATCTTCATTGACCATAGATAAAGAACGCACTAATAAAGACAAGGGAAGATGTTTCAATATCGAACGATCGATGATTCATCAATCTTACTTCAATGCTAAAATAGCCTCTATCGACATAATCTCCCAGGAATAAATATCGAGTTGTCGCAGGTGAACCACCCACTTCGAATAACTTCATTAAATCATAATACTGTCCGTGAACATCGCCACAAACTAAAATTTCGCTGGAGATGAAACAACGGATTCGTTCCGGCAAATTCGTGAAATACCTGTGATCGGCGCTTCGACATCAATCATAGTTTTTTCTTGGCGTAATAACTTTGCACCATCTTCAATTATTTTAAGTGCTACATCTTCAGTGACGCGTCCTTCGGATATAAAATGTGTTTTTAGTACATCCACGCGAGGTTTTCCACGTGAATCGAATACATCATAAGCTGTTAAACGTGCATTTGGTGGACATGGAATGGCTAGATAAGTGATGACATATTTCGTATGCAGTCGCAAACAATAGAAATATCCGCTGCTTACTTTTCATGACACGTTCAACAGTCGGCATTGGTAATGTTGCATCAGTTGTGGATGGCGGTGATGAAGAGAGATTTGTTGCTGTGGGTCGAGTGGACGAAGAGGAAGTGGAAACATTATTCGAAGTTGTGTTATTGGTTGCCATGGATTGTTACTATCAGGAAGATTCAAAACGAGAGTTCAATAACATTGATAGTCTTTGTTTTGATAAATGATCTAATAACATGACAAGAGAAGAACATAGATCTGAAATGAGACGTAATAATCGATGATTATGTATCCTTCATAAGATAGTAATCAATAAGGACACCTGCATATATGCGTTTTGAGAAAGTGAGGAAAGAGACTCATGCAGAACCACATACCGTCCATTGGGGCATGAAAATAGATTTTCTACTTTCTTTCTCTCCCTCGCTTTTTTTTCACATAGACACGAAACGATATTTTTCTTTCTTTCTTCTTTTCTGTTGAATGTATATGTTTGTGTGTGCACGGCATGTCGACGAGATAGAGCAAAAGAAATTCATTTATCATCAAGTTTTTTTTTTCTTGTCGTAAGAAGAGGCAGAGAGAGAGAGAGAGAAAACGAGAAAGAAACAAAAACGAAGGAAAGTAATAAGCTTTCTTTTTTTCTTTTTTTACTCGCATTTGTTTTTGCATCGTCGACGATGCTGTTGTTGTTGTTATAGGAGCATGTATGCCAAACAGCAAGCCTTTTTGCTTTCTTTCATTTTTTTTTCCTTTTCACATCATCGACAAGGGACTAAATGAGTGCGAACCATCGTTCTTTCCCTCCTCCTTCTACCCATCAACAATATTTAGATATTAATAGAGAGAATGAGAGAAGGAAAGAAAGAAACATAACAAACAAGTAAAATACTGTTTCTTCTTTGTTATTATTATATTGTCTAGTAAATCGATTGTTCTTTCGATTGATAATGACATAATACGGAGAAGCGTTTTTCTTTCTTTTGTTTTTCGTATATACAACACTCGACTCGATTCGATTAATGTATGCAAATGGGTATCAAAGATCGTTGATTCTCAAAGAATCTATCTTTCTTTTTTTCTTCTTCTTTTTCTCACCGCTCGATGAGACAAGGACATTATTAATAATACAAAAAAAAGAAACCTCGACTACGATGCACAAGGACGTGGAGTATCGCATGTATACATGGTTTGATTTCCGGTTAATGTTCGAAAAAAAAAGATTTCTTTTTTTAAACGATAAACTCTATGTTAGCGAACATCCTTAAGTTTAGATTTCATTTCCGTTTGCATGAAGACAAGCAGAAGAAAATCCAAACTGAGATATGAGAAAAATGAACCCTCTCTTTCTTGTGCTCAAAACTTAATAATAAACGATACAGAAGCCGAACTGCGACGAGCGAGGGAAAATTTTCAGGGCGGACTAGAAAAAATAAATAAATAAACACAATATATAAGCAAGTAAAACGCTTCACTGATTAACATTAACAATTGATCAATTGAATCAGAAGAACCAATAGATGTTTTGGAGTATAAAGAAGAAAAATAACAATTGAAACACTATCATAGTATTAAACGTTTCAATGGATAGAAGCAAACTGCAATAAGATGAGAATATCGTTTACAGATGGCGCTATTCACCTGGTAATGACCATACTTAAACTAAAAAACCTTGAAAAAAAATCCGAATATAGATATTTACAACGCAACAAGAACAACACGTTTTATCTCTCAGCAGTCACGACACTAATCCTATGCGATTCGTGCAATCAATCATCTACGTACTTCGCATCTAATTCCTAAATTTCGCCTAGTTTCACATGAGAATAATTATTTCTCTAATCAAATCTTTCACTAAAATAAACAATAACTAGTTTGTTATTTATTCTTTCCATATGCTATTTATCCTTCTAACAATTATCTAAAGATGATTGACAAACTTGCTACGAGTAGATAAAAGCGATGTTTTCAATCTCATTTGAGTATTGAACAGAAGATCGTGTCATGATTTGCTTCGTTACTCACGATGCAATATTGTTTTTTGTTTACTTACCAAGCATCTTTCAAGTAGCAGTATCTTTTCTTCTATATTTGCAATTGATCAGTTGTAATAATAATAAAAACAAAAAAGAGGAAATTAATGTTTAGACCGTTGATAATATGCGTATAAGGAAAGATGGCTGGAGAGTGATCAGCAAAGAGAAAATGAAGTTGTTGGTAGGAGAAAGAAGAAATGCATATCGACTTTAATCGAATTGGACTTGATGTGTAAAAAGAAAACGAGGAGAAAAACGTTAATTCATCTTAAATAGTTCCGATTATGTGTTGTTACTCTGATGATCATAAAAGAATATGAAAACCAGTTCGACTAGAATCTGTCTCGAGTCAGAGCGCGCAGATATGAGCTTCTGTACATGAAAGCAGCTTTCTCTGTTCGAGTCTCTCTTTTTTTTGTCAGTAGTAATAAAATCAATCTAAAAGATCGAATCGAACTCTTCCTTCTCCAAAGTCTTTATTTCTCACTTAGAGACTCTTTTGTCTTCGAAGTCCCTCGATGCCCTCCCATGTATTTCCTGTCGGATGATTTCCGTTGCCATTTGTTTCTTTCAGTCATCATTTGTTGATCTGTCAACTTAACTGATAGGCAACACTTTCCTGAATATCCAACTGAAGATATGTTCGATCAACAACTCGCTTTCACGGCTACAGACATCGGTCCGCAGAAAACGAGCTCTGATTTCTACTGATCGTTGTGAACGTGCTTACCAAATTCTCGCAAGAATATTAACGCGCAGCATCGGGATTCCCTTAGATAGAGAAAAGGTTTTTCTCTTCAGTAGCTTTAATGCAATGCTCATTTTCCTTTTTTTTTCCTACTCTTTTTCTCTCTGTTTTTCTTCCGAAGAAAAAAAAAAGCGAGAACTAACGACGATTCTAATTCGAGTGTGTCAAACGCAAGAAAAAGAGAAAGTATGATGTGAAAAACTAAGGAAAAAAGAAGAAGAAGAAGAAGAAGAAGCAAAAAACGCGCAAATACAAAGAGGGGACTAAAGTCGTGTTAATATTTTTTCATTAGGTTTCAGCTGCTGCAAGATCAGAACTACCAAAGGACGCAAGTTCGAAGACTGAAATCGAATGCGAAGACAAGTACATTCGATTATGAACTGTCTTCGATAGATAGAGAAATAGTTTTTTTTAATAGTAATGCATTTAATTAACAAAATCAAGTCACAGTGAGATATTGCTGACGTCATTGAAGAGTTTATTTTGATCATTGTCAAAGACTTTTTACTCAGCTTTATTTAGCTTTTTGTACTTGAGACGAGAGAAAAAAAAGCGCCTAGCTTTCTAAGAAGAATACCTGACTAGTTCAAAGGATTGGTAATTATCTCTACTGGTTTTCTCTCTTTTTCTCTCTTTGTCAATTTTGGAATTCATAATAGGTTGAGTAACAGAAATGTTCATTGTTGTTTTTATAGCTTTCACCAGATGTTATTTAATTGCTTGATGTTGTGATAAATAACATGTATAACAAATCATGACGATAAATATCTGACTGCACTAGCTAAATGGAATCGCGGAAAGTGAGACAGCCATACGAGAAGAGGAATATAATTAAAATGATGAAAGAGAGAAAAAAGACCGACTGATCTAATTCTTCAAACAATAACTATTGTAACCAGCTTTAAGCTATTTATGAGTTAATTCTTCTTCTCGGTGGCCTTTTGCAGAACGAGAAGTCATTCGATTGGTAAATTTTCCTATATTGTATTCTTGTTTTATATAATGTCAAAATAAGGTGACATAAGTCATCTATTATTTAAAAGTCTTGATGTCGCTTGATAAAACTGACATTTTAGATTGGGAAAAAAGAAAGTCGAAACCTTTGATCGTACGACGGTAGGAGAAGGCATGGAACGTCCCTGTCGTTTCCATCCTATTTGACTAGAAAGTTTGAATCAATAGCTGAGTTTATTTCGTATCACAACAAATGTGTAATACTAAGACAAATAACGATCAAGGTTACGAAGTACTAGAACGTACATACAGCAAAAGAAAAACTGATAATTCAGTGAAAAGAAAATCACAGTTTTCATTTAATAACTAGGAAACGGCATGCGATCGATTCCATGTTGTTGGCTAGTGAGTGAAGATGGAAACGAAACACCGAATTTTGCTAAACAATCATACGTTGGAAAGCAATACAGTGTTGTTTGCTGATGATTGTAATTTGCTTTGTAGAATATACGTTCGAGATCATTGTTGTGATCGTATTGACAATTTTCTTCTTCTTGTTCGTGCACGTCATCGTCGGAATCGGAATCTTCAGTCGAATAAAGATCGATTTGTTTCTCTACTGTTCTTTTCAATGATACTCGAACAGTTTCTAAACAATTCATCTGTTGAAATAATTCAATACAATCATCAATCGCCACTGGTTGAAGAACACATTTGTAATGTTCGTACAGATACTCAAGATTCACACCTGGATGATCAATGATGAATAGTAATAGCGATTCCATCATACGTTGCAAAACAGTATAGTTTATCGTGCCATCGGTTGATTTCCATGGACGAGGAACAAAGACAATACGCTAGAAGTATGCAGAAGTTGGGTTAGAACAGACAATAAGCGATGTCTTACTTCGCACTGATCGGAAATGAGCTGATTGTCTCCATTTGAGAAATTGAAAAGTTTCATTTGTCGATCGTTTTGCGTTGTTTGAATCTCCGTTGTCGATGTTTTCGATGTGGTTGGCGATTCGACAAAAGTACTTGTCAATAAAGTTTCTAGATTGTTATTATTGTTATCGTCGTGTTGTCGGAAACGAATAGAGTAGATCAGCCATGATCGTGCATATTTTCGATGCACAAATATTCGTGTGCGACTTCCTGCAGCAATGACGATTCCGCGAACGAGATAATCATTCAATTGTTTGACACATTCACAGAAGGTCATGACGGATTTCACTTGTTGGTACAAGTGATGAAAGGTTAAGCCGAATTCATGGGCGCTTAGAATTGAAGTAAGTAGAAGATTTGTTTCATCGGAATCGATCTGTTGTTCCTGATCATAAACAGCTGAGTAGAAGGGAAAACGTTGAATCAATTTGTCAATTATATGCAGAGTTTTCTGAGCGTAGAAATGTTGAAATTGCTGTTGAAGAAATTCATGGGAGAGAACGAAATTGATTGAACAGCAACTAAGAGATGATGTGTCAGTGGCATGTCGGCCCCGCCCGAGAGGGTTTTGTGTTGGTAGCCCAGGACGTAAGGATGTTTTATTCGATTTCACTTGTCGATGTTGATCGTGCTGTCGGTGACAATGACGAACTAGACTTGTTCGATTAAGAAACGATTTTGGACATTCATGACATTGATGACGAATGGGACCAGATGGTTTTGAACGTGTATTATTATCGTTATTCGTTGTTGTCTAGAAGAGAGAGAATATTTATTATCGTTAAGAGTAGATTTGTGATTTTCTACTTTTGATTTTTTTGTCGATGTTTTATCTTCGTCCGTAGAAAGCTTTCGTTTAGGAGTATGTTCATAACGCGTTTGATTAATTCGTCGTGCACTCTGGAGAACTTGTTGAAAGTCTCTCTCATGTTGTTCATCATCATTCTCTTCGTCGTCGTCGTCGTCATCATCATCGTCGGTATTCAATTCGTCGGTATTCTTCGGCATTTTCGACACCATCATTTCGGGCTCATCGTCCAGACTTTTTGGTAATGCTAATTGAATATCGAAATGATTCGTATCGAAAAAGGTTATAAACGAAGCGGCAATTGCAACGTTATTTTGTTGTTCAATATCAATAACGACATTCATCTGCTCATCGACGTTATTAATATCGATCTTTGACAAGATATTCTCTTGAATCCAAGAATATGTCTCGTGAAGAACCGTAGCAGGCATATAAGTGTACCAACGGTAGATATATCGTTGATTGATATGATATGCTCGGCCAGCAAGAAATGTTGATGCTTCACTGGAAATTTTCCGTTGAATATCATTCGACTTGGTTAATGTAATTACTGCATCCGTGTGCATTAATCGATAAACTACCTCGTTGAGCAAGGACTCGGGATATTGAGAAAAGATATAGTGAAGAATGAATGCTTTGGCCGTACCGGAACGTTCGTTGGATAAAAGAGAACTGTGCGTAGCCATGTTTATTGTTGAGCTTAAAATCGATTTTGTTGTTCTGCGAGAAAGAAAAGAAGTCCATCAATAGGAAATAGAGAAAGAAGACTCGACTTACTCAGGTTGGTACAATGAACTGAGATCAGTAGTTGGTTTTCCAATGATCGTGTATTGTTTGAAGAGTTCTTCCCTCGAGCATGGTAAATATTCAATTGTACCTTGCGGGATGCAATGTAAGTATCCTGTACGAATAAAATTTTGGAATTTGAGAAATATTCTTTCGAAAAGTAAAAGGAAAAAGTGTTCATTAGAACGAAATCGTTGTTTGAGATAACGTTTTGCTTCATTACGAAATGTCAATAAATATGTATCCGTAGAGCACAGTACCGAAAGATGTTCCAATTGAGTTAAACGTGTCTGTTGTGTCATGTCGTTTTTAATCTTACGCACGACATTTTGAGGTGTTTTCGAACGTGCCGAACGAGGAAGAATACGAACGAGACAAGCACGAAATAATTCCTTATTGAATGGAAGAAATGCAGCTGGACGACGACTTCCAGTTGTTGTCGAATCTTTCGAAGAATCAGAATTTTCTGTTTGTTTTCGTGGAAGATAAAATGTCAAAGCAGTATTGATTAAAGATATCACACGTTCTTCGATCGGCGACCATCGAACACGAAGAGCAGTGGAATTGACATGCTCTAAATCCTCGTCTGAATCTTGATCATCGTTTCCTTTGCCTTTCTTTCCCTTTCGAGTCTTGTTTTTCTTCGTCGATGTATCCTGTAGAATTTCATTGAAACGATGTAGAATGCCTTTGTTCTTTTCTCGAGTATATTGATACAATAGTTTCTTTCGTCGATCGACAAATTGTAACTGATTCAGTAGATCATACGGAACGATATACCGTGATAAATGGCCGTAGTATTCGACGCCAGGTAAAGGCTTCGTCACAAAATGAGTCGTTCGTCTCGAACGATGAAGAGACGATGGAGCTGTTGTTGTTAAGTGTATAGATGAATTATCGAAACTAGTCGTTGACATATTCATGTCGCGTTTTCGACTATTATTCTTGCGTTTTTGTGTTAAATGTCGCGTGTAAGAACGTTTTAATGCCACATCGATAGGTACACGCAATTCACAAACAGGAATACAGCAGTGATTTGCTTCCCGATTGAGTAATTTCAAGATTCGTTTGTTATTGTATGGAAGTTTCCATGATTTACGTAAGAATAGATATAGATCATAATCGAAGCCCGCTGGGCCATTGGATTTTCCCAGTGGAGTTTTGGTTTCTTCGATATTTTCCATTGGAATCGGTTTCGCTGCTTGTTTAAGTACTTCAACAATATGTGAACGCTCTTGCTTTCGTGAAAAGATCTTCACTCGATATGTGTTCAGCGCAATTTCAATTAAATCAAACCAGTATCGATTGACATGTGTCAACGACGTAAAATTGTACATCTGTTTCGGATAATTCGACATGTTTTCAATCGGTCCATTGGAATTATTCGTTTGATTGATTGTATTTATTAAATACGCTTTCGGATGAAGGTAAATCAATGTATTCAACTTTTCTAAGCGACTAATTGTCGGACGATCGACGAATGTAATCAGACCAAGTGTTGACAGATACTTCAAAACTTCGATTATTCGATAGAGATAATGTCGACGAACGACCAGCGGATAGCGCATTTCAGCCGGAAGGTCACGAACGAGAATATAACGTTTCGTTGGGTGAGAAAGTAACTCCATCAAGCCAGGAACTTTATATGGAACATAGACAATTGCGAGAAAGATCGAAATTGGCATACACATAAGAAAATCATCGAGATAAAGACAACCAGGTGGAATCGATCGACCACGAGTATCTAATGGCGGAACGAAAGTTTTCCAATTAGCACCTTGATTGACATTTGTATAACGACGCGTGTTGGGAATTGAGTCGAGAATTGCTTGAACTTCTGGTAGAGTAGAAACAAGAGATTGTTCCGAATCGAAACTTGTCTAGAAATACAATTGTTGTTCTTTTCTTTTCAACTAATGATCGAGAACTTACGTCGAGATCTTCTTGCTCAAGATTTCCTTCATAACCATAGAGTAAGTAGAACATGAATTTATGTAAAATAGCACACCGTTGAAATTTATACACATAACCATAACAGTTTCCAAAGCCATTGACGTTTTCAAGTGATTTCTTTTTCAGTAATGCAATCTTTTCTTCTTCCAATCCATTGTTGAAGAAATTGTCGATCGTATTTTTTGATTCATCATCATTCATTAGTTTCTCTTCTTGGGAAACATGTTCCTGTGGATTTGTAACGGTTGTCGTTGATAGTCGCTCACGAGATATTGGTTTTGATTTGTTTGTTGACGGTATTTCGATTGTGTCCTGAGATAGTTCGATTTTAAACTGTTGAATTTTGTCGCAATCAGGTGAAATGTCTGGACTGATCATAGCCAGACAAATAATCGTTCGTGATTGTTTAATTCGCGCAGTAAACCGAAAGAGAAAATGATGAACTTTTTCCAATTCATCAACTAACTTATCGAGAGTTTTGCGATCCATATGAATCGTTAGACCTTCCTCACGTTCACTGGACATAATTGTAGCACGTAGATCAGTTAGCGTACAAATCGGATGTTCCTGCATATAGGAACGAATCAAATCTAGCCGATGTTCGCGTTTGATATTGATTCGTTTCACGGGATTAACGCGAGTTTTCGATTTCTTCTTTGTAGATTCTTGGCGAACAGATTGAGTTGACGGACGCCAAACAGTTTCCGACGAAAGTAGACGTGAGAGTAATGGTTCATTGTCTAGATGTTCCGCATCGACCGGTTCACATTTGATAAATGACGGTGAATTCAATGCTGCAGATGGGACGGACGACGGACTATCAACTAAAACAAATCACTTCGCCATTACGTCACAACACAACATCGTATATCTTACTGATGGTAGTTTCGATATCTTTTTGTTTCGCGCTATCTTTTTTCCGTTTTGCACGTGGCGTTTTGGAGATAATCTGTTGTCGAACATTATGATTCGCCGTCAATGATTTCGCTGTTGTCGTGGATGGCATGAACTTTTTCAAGAGGATCTTTAAACAAATATGACTAGATTGGCATGTATGAGAAAGTTTTCGGCTTACTCGATTCTCCATGATCTTTCCTTTTTGATTCAGTTGCACACTTTTCAACGAGATATGCTTCATATTTTTTGTCAACGATTTGATTTCGGATCTGGCAGAATAGAATGATAAATGACAAATGTTTGCTAAATCGCGTTGGGATAATCCGATCTCTTTCACTTGTTCTAATAGTTCATAGTATTGAAAATGATATGGTCGATCGACGTACAGTTTCAGATTATTTTGATCTAATTGACTTGATGCTTCGGATAGAGGTAACATATTCGAATCATCTTCATCGTCCAGAGCTTCCTCTTCAACTTCTTCTTCGTCTTCGGACTGTTCATTCTCGTCGCTTGATGACGCGATTTCTTCATCATCATCTTTTTGAGTATTATCGTTTGATTTCAAACGAAAAAACGTATACGAACGTAAACGTGTTCGGTTATTCAAACAAATCAATGTTGTCGTTGTTGCTGTTGGTGAATCTTGTTCATTACTTAAACACCGCTTTAATTCATATTCGTTCATTGTCTTGTTGTACTTCTCGATTAAATTCAATCGTTTGCATTTTCTCATTAATGATCGAAACGATTTCTCTCCTAAGGATAAGTACGATTTCAGATGATTTCGTTCACACGAATGGTTTTTACATTGTCCCAAATAACTACTCAACCGGTCGATAATCGTGTATTTCGAATTCATGTAATCATTCTTGGTGATGTATCGAGTAAGAATCAATATCGGCTGCTTTAATGTTCCAACCAACTGTCGAGTTAAGTTGAGTTTTTTAATGATGTCCAAGGCAATCAATTGCTTGAGGTAATAGAATAACGATTTACTATTAATATTGAAAATTTTGGCAAGACCATCATTTCCTGATGTTGAAATACCTTTCGACCGGGTTTTACAGATGCATTCTAATAGAGCGTATTCGTATTTACTGAACAATTGTTTGGTATCGAATTGGCCTTGAATGATACGAAATTCGCGAACATTTTGTTCGACAACAAGATGAATCCGATCGAGTGTTGATACATCATCAAGATTCATATAAGCAGTCCGATTGGATATCAATTTTCGTTGATGATACGACGAAGAATAACCGCGTTGATTCAATTCCACATTTTCAACAGCGAGATTATTCAGCGATGCGGGCGGAAGAAGTTTAACAGGTAGTTCATAAAGTTCAATGCATGAACACGATAAAAGAATTTTCCATAGATATGAACGAAGATAATTCTCATTCGAAAGTCGATTATCAGTAGGCAATAACAACGGTTCAACAATAGTATACAAATGATTGAATGTACAACCTTCGAGACCTTCGACAGCTAATTCATCGATAAGAATATCTCGGCAATAGTTCCAATTCATGATCGGTCAATACTGGGTAAGATGCTTTGAATCAGATTCGAACATAAGACTGATGTAAGACACGATTGTTTTCATTGGTTTCCATTTTTAACTTTTACATGTCTGTTGTTTTTTCCTTGCAGAAGTATTCATCGATAGATGGCAGGATGTCACATTACAAGTCGAGCATTTATCGAAGAACGAAACGCTTATCTCGAGTGACATGGGAGCACTTCGCGAATATCTGATTCTTTCATGACGGAAAAGCTCATTGAACTTCAATGACAAGTGTATTGATAACAAAGTTGTTATTTTCGAATGAGTAATTTGTTATAAATACGATTGCGCCTACATTTTACGATCAGTTTGTTGTTCCAATGCATTGACACAGATCATAATTATTCAAATCAGTGTCAATATTATTCTGTACACTGCTGCACGAAAAATATCATCCGACTCACAGTTTGGACTTTGATAGAAGAAAAAGATATTCTCAGTCGCGACCCAGATCAATGACGTGTTTGCAATGCTATTCCGGAATTCATCGACGTCTACGATGGGAACGGTTTTGGCCAAAATTATTAATTATTCTAGTTGCTATCATGGAAATGTTATTAACCATCGCCGTTCTATGCTTAGAATTTTGGAGTATGATTATTAATATAAAATATTCATTCTTTTTCATTGGTTTTATCGCGTCATTTGTTCATATTACTACTTGGATATTAACATTTATTGTTGGTAAGTTCGACAATAGCGAAAATTGAGTTCGAATATTTTCGTGTGCGTGTTTTAGGCTGCTGTTGTCAAACGTCACTTTCATGCACAACGAGTACATTCATTGTTCATCTTCTGTCAATTGCCATATCAAGTATTCTGGTGTTTTATGATGTTTCATTTCTTCGAAATCCTCATATGTGTCTCTGGTCAAATAGTCAATGCAATGGTGGACTGAAAGATATGCATCTCTTCGGTTTTACAATGAACACTACTGATGACATTCATTGGATTAAATTAACTGTGCTTAAAATACAGATTGGCTGTGCTGCAGCTATGATTGTTGTTTGTATGGTTTATGTGTTGAGTTATGTCTATACTATTATTCGCGTTTATTCAAAGAATAAAATCGCTGACGCGAATGTAGTTGGAGAATTGGTTCAAACACGATCAACAGCACCATCGCCACGAACAAACTGGCCAAATCCACCAAGAGGATCCTCATCCGAATCTGACTTCTAACACATACATGAAATACTTTTTTTTTCACTTATATTTTACATAATGAATGCACAGTCACGACCTGGCGATATGATTAAAAGAAATATCTGAATTCAGTTGAATTTGGTAATATTCTAGTTAAGACTCTGACATATACACGAGATTACTCTTAAAGTATAGCAAGAACATTATGACGTTTTTACCTTTACTTACACACTCGTGCCCAAACACATGATTACTTTTCCTCTCACTTATAGATAGCGAAAAATGATGAGAGAACGACGAAATTAGTTACTTGTGAGTAAACAAACAAGTGACTACTATCTTTGCCAATTACAATATGAAAAAAGTCAAACAACAACCACTTGCATTGTTGATATACTGAATAATTGTATCGATATACTGTTTCAAAAGCACCTACACATGTGAATAGTTTGATTTTTAAACGACGTCAATATCAGCAAAACATGGTCGAGTGTACACAGAGGAATATCATATCAAGTTATATCACAATATTAGAAAATGTTATCATTTCTTCTTTTACGTTGTTCACAAACGAACATTTCTAGTGAATGTCAATCAACTGATTGATCTCTCTACGTGCGTATAGGGCGAACGTTTTGATTTATCGATTTGATTTCTGACGTTGACACGATATGTGTATGTGTAGTGTCTGATGCATACGGCTAGTTATCCACGTACGAAGTTAATTGTCTTGTTGAGTAGAAAGAAAGCAAAATAGTACGCAAGTCGACAATTTCATATGCTTTTAAGTCATTATTCAGTTTGGCCTGGCAATGAGCCAGACCAAACACATTTGCTCGTTACGTGCCAAATACTATCATTCTTTTCATCGATGACGAGCTTTGTCTTGCGTCAAACACTTCGTTAAATGACGTCATCAATATTTCATTAAAGAGATTTCTTGGCAAAATATCAGTTTGGCAAGATGCCAAATCATTTCTTCTCTTCAATTTCTTTCCTGTCGTGAGAGTTATAATTCGCTTATTCGTGTTCGATTTTATTCTCGTTGGCTTGTCTTGCATATGTTTCGGTACACAGTATACGATAACAACGCATTCAAACGACACGACAACGTCACTATCAGCTTTCTGCTGTTACTACCCCGGTTAATTTTCATTCTTTTTCTCGCTCATATGACTTCTATTCATAGAAGTTGTATCCACTAAGGAACGAAAGAAAAAACACGTCTTTCTTCTTCTCTTTTCTCAGTTGGTTCGCGTTGTCGAGAAGAGGAAAGAGTAGAGAATGTAGACGCATCGACGAGCAGTAACCAATCCAACAAATGTTATTGGCATTCAACCAAGTGCGTGCGTTGTCGAGCATCATGTGATTTGAATAGAGAAAAAGAAGAACTATTGTTCTCTTCTTCCAACGCATGATTTTTTTCTATTGGTTGGCTCACACGCCACCTCACAACTTAACGTACATACAAATGCGATGGATGGATAGGGAAAGAGAGAGCAGCTGTTTCTTCGTTCTTCTTCTTCTGCTGTGTGTCTATGCATGTCTTGTGTCGTGCAGCTGATTCGCCGTTAATGAAAAATAAGACACCATTTTTTTCTCTGTTTGTGCTTTTTCCTCTTAGTCGTCGTTCGTTCGCATTCCTTTCTCTCTCTCTATTCTTCTCGTGCGCTCTCTTTTCTGGTTTCTATTATTACCCTACACACATACACACACACACACACACACACACACACACACACACTCTCGTCGACATCATCGAGTTGATTCGCGTCTCTATCATCGAGTTATATACGTCCTTTTACTACGACTAATTCTTCAAATAGATACTTTAAATTCAATATTTCCTCGAAAAAACAAAACGTACGTATTCAATGAATTTTTACTATTCTTCCTTACTATTCCTATACTATTTATCTTCCTCCTGTTTCTCGTCATCTATATGTGTGACAATTTTTTCTTTTCTATCCTATCCTATAGAACGATATATACACTACGAAACGTATGCGTATAGTGAATGTCACATTGCTATGTTGTGGATAACAATACACCGAATCGAACGTAACAACAACAACAACATTGTCTTAACCTAATGCCTGAATCACCGTTACAACGTAGATTATCCACAAATACATCACCTGCTACTAGTCACGTTAGGTATGTGTTCAACAAGAAAAAATACAAAGGAAGAAGAACACTCTCGTTCTTTCTTTCCGCATGTGTGAGCGTGCGTATGTGTAAAATGAATGGCGGTTGGCTGATAGCCAAAAGAGAATTTCCTCTCGTTCGTTCTAGACTGAATCAGAATACGATACACATATGTGTGAGCGTATGTGTGTGTTCATACGTATATACACATACATACATACACACACGTTGCTTGTTCTCTTCTTCGTTCAGATATATTGATTGACTGTCGCTCAGTTTAGTTACGAATATATGCATATCAACATATGTAGAAAAACGAGAGACAGAAAGAAAAAAACAGATCCACTTGCATGTCATCACTTCTTCAATTTATGTTATACGTTGATAGACAGTTGCATAGACAAGCTGTCAGAGTAACTGATGAATAATATAGAGAAGAAGATCGTATTGCAGTCACATATCTTATCTTATTTGAATATATCTGTACTAGTTTTGTTTTTCTTCTAATTATATTAGTTCGGATATGTCTCCAAATACTCAATTAGAACAAGAAAAACGTGTACGCCGTGAAATCGCTAATTCCAATGAACGCCGTCGTATGCAATCGATCAATACTGGTTTTCAAAGTCTGAAAATTCTCATTCCTCATTCTTGTGGTGAAAAACTTAGTAAAGTATGTTTCGAAAGATTTGATATTCGTCTAGTTAACAATTCATCTGCTAGGCATGTATCCTTCAACGAGCTGCTGACCATATAAAGAGTCTTGAAAATGAAAAACTTAAGCTTCAATCTCAGAATGAACAATTTCGCATCTTGATAAAAAGTTTTCAAATCGATTCTTCAAGTGTTTTACAAGCCCAACGACATTTATCAACAAACGGTAAGTACGCGAGTATTCAACGTCGTTTTTTTCCTCTTTTCCTTTCTGCGGTTAGACAAAAACAAACCACTGTCGTTGACAGTTAGCTATCCACTAACCTTTACATCAAAATGACGTTGATAAATATCTTTTATAGATTCTGATGAAACTGTACCGTTGCTGGGAAGTAATGAAGACAGCAAACCCATTGTCAATAATGTTTTCGATGACGTCAAGAACCGTCAAACATATTGGCACGCACAATATGTTCAAGCACCCAACGATGATCAATCGCCATCCGTAAGTTCAATTGACTTTCCCTTACCGAAACACTATTTGAGATTCGCTGTTCTTTTAGCCAATTGATAAATTCTATCGAACTGTCAAACAATCGACTCCAACCACAACTTCAGATACGACATATATGATTGTGAAACAAAGTCAACCTAGTCAACGTTGCTATAAAACTAATTCTGTTGATCAAAATCATGATAATGAAATTGTTATTGTTGAACGTTGTCAACTCAGGGCGCAAAGTCTTGATACCAATAATACCGTTTCGCGACGGAATCTACAAACCATCGTCGAAGCTATACGACATTTAGAAGGTGACGATGTACTAGCGAATATCAATCAAATTCAACAAACATCATCGTCAGACGGACATCAGCAAGAAGATCTACCTGCACAACTCAAAGCAATGATTCATGAAAAATTTCAACCAGCTAATGTTAAAACTCCACCGTCACCGTCTGGAACAAATACAATTTATCAACAAACGATAAATATCTATGAAAAACAACAGCTGACGACAGGAGCAACGCACGAAATTGATCTACATCAGAAGCCACCAAAGAAACGAAAAATTACTTATAACGAAAGTGACGACACAATTATCCAAAGATCAGGTTTGAGTTTTACTTTGAACGAATCTCCTCCTTACACATGAAACTTTGATTTGATAGATTTACCACATATATCAAGTCCAGAAGTTCATCATCATGAGCAAATATCTAGTGAACCATCACCACCATCAGCAGTAGCCCAATTCTTGCAAGAACATTTGCTACAGCGTAGCCTACGTTATCCACCACCTTAACAAAATTTTTCTTTGTCTGTGTCTCCTCGTTACATAACCCGGTTTGTACTTTTGGTTCGTCTGTCTGTAAATAATATATACATATATTTTTTCTTCCGCTTCTCTTTCTCTCTCTCTCTCTCTGTGTTTGTCTGTAGTGTGTATTCAAGAAACAAGACCAAAAACTGCTCATTTCTTTGTGTTTAGCTCAAGTATTTCAACAGGACAGTGATACACATTCTTTTGTCCTATCTGCGCTTGTATGTGTGTGATTGCGCGAACAAGTTTTTGTTGTTTCTCTTCGAGCGCTTTCTTCAAAATAGTACGATTTAACACACCACATACAATATCGTTTTAGCGTTTTGTTTCATTGGTTTACACCGGTCTTTTTTTTTCGTCTCTTCTCTCTTGCATTTTATTATTTGGGTTGTTTTTTTTTCTGTGCCGCGATGACAAAGGAAAAGCTATGCATCTCCTACTCTTCGTTTTCTTCTTCTGTTGCTTCTGTTTGTTGGTTTGATTTTGTAATCTGTTGTTTTCACTCATATGAAATCAATGATGAGTGTTTGTTTGTATTCGTTTGCCGACGGTTCGTTTTTTTTATGAAGCTTGTACATTTGTATAGTTAAAGGAAAAAAAACAAATTGCAAACAAAAAATTCCATTCGTTATTAGTCATAAATGCAATCGATCAGCAAATGGAATCACACCATATGATTCACTCCCATCCCACTACACTTATAAGTACCTTCTTTTTTTCTATTATGGGAATGAGTAACAGACAGAGAGAAAGAAACAAAAATATCTTTTTGAAGTATACTGCGACAGCATCAATCGAACAATAACTGATTGAAAGAAAGAGTTGTGATGAAGATGTTTATCTAATCATGAATTATTATGTTGTAGACACGTTCAATGTTTCCTAGGACTGATCTAATGATAGGGACATAGAGTACAACATATGTTTAGTATTGTTACAGTTGTGCTTGACGACAGATTGACGACGATATAATTACTATCGGCAAAGAAATATGATACTGGCAGCAATAATCTGTATCATTGTTGAGATTGGCTTACATGTGATTAGTTTATATTGAGCAAATAGTTTGTGATCGTGTAAATGTAACACGATTTTTAGGTACATTCTTCGATGGCAATTCGATCTCATGCATAAATTAATCTCTTCGAAATGAATTGTAATCCTCGTCACACGAATAGACACTCGAACTTCTCTTAATTATTTAAATAAACTGACGGATTTCTCGTATTGTACTTTTATTCAACGAGAAAGATATTTATATAACCAATGTGATCCCAAAAATTACAATCATCCGTCAAGTAGTTCTCTTCCATCTGAAATAGATGTTGAATGAACATATATCTCTCGTTTTCACTAGTGATTCTTGCCGATGGCGTTGGCACTCGGAATGACTCGTTGAGTTCTTGAGTTTTAGTAAAGTTCATTTAGTAAGTCGCCATACCTTGAGATACGTGCCGACCAGCATCGCCGAAGCTATTCCAATAGGATTCAAACACAAAAGGTAATTTATCGTTATGATACGCAACTTTTCGAGCAAAGGCTCGAGTCGAACGGGCAAATATTCAGGGTGTGCCCGCACGCGATATGAGAGCACGCTGTTCATTGGAAAGATCTGGCAGAGAGTGATGAAACACTTTGAACGCCTTTTCCCCGAAGAGAGCAATGACCACCGCAACGTATTCACTAGGTGACACTGTTTTATTATAATTTCCAAAGATGAAATCACAACAGTCTGCTGTCGTTGTACCAATCAACAACGATTCCAATGGAAATGATATATTTTGTGCACTATCCAGTAGTTGACCATGAACGATGCTATTGTTAACGACCGGCAGCCATGGGTTCAAAAAAAGAACATGACATTGAGTGAAGTTAACTTGTCGTTGACAGCCTTTTGAGCAGCGATAATATCATTCATCGAGCGAGATCGCAAACATGCTATGTCACCAATAACACAGCGAAGTTATTCGGCGAGAAGAACACTTGGCGCGACATATTCAAAATAAATTCTAGATTTGATCAAAGAAGCGATTTCCCCTTAGATACATACTGATCGCCGGCACTTTGGTCAAATAGCACTATCTAACTAATAAAATAGTCAGAAGTAAAGTGTCTCAAGCATCTGCCAATTCAAATTTTATGTGGATCACTGCCGAACGCATTAATATTCCCTTTAACCCAAGCATTGGCTAAACGTTGATCGACAGTTCCTTACTTATCTTTGACACCATTGAGACCGTTTCCAGTAGCCAAAGATTCCAGAACACCTGATTTTAATATACTTTGATACAGATTGCGAAGAGAAACTTCATATTTATCGAATCGATATTGAATCAGTGTCGCGATTACGTTAGTGGTATTAACAAGACGCTCGGCATCGTGAATTGGTTCAATACTATAACAATACTGAATGCCACAATCATGAATAAAAAAACATGACCGACAGAGGATTCACCGATGATGACGTATTAGACAATGGTGTGAAAATGTTAGCGTAGAGACAATCTTCGGGCAGGCCGGAGGCGGTTGTGCAACATTAAGTACTTTAGGAGATCATTTGGACACAGGCGCTGGTGGCTGCCATCTAAATAGGTATGGTTGTATTTTTCAAAAGTAGATGTGATATCTCCGTTTTGCATTACCTCAGTGTATCAACTAGCGGCCGTGCAAATGGAATGCTGTAGAATACACGAGCCAAACCAGTTTAATATCCTAGAAGATTACCGTATTGTGCATGAACAACAACGGGTTCAGCGTCGGAAGCTTTTAGTGTAGAGAAAGTTACAAACAAAATTGAGTTTGCCAACATCGTTGCTCTCTTCTGCAGATATGCGTATCGTTCTACTAGCCTAGTTGATAAGCGAGAACCTATTATCTCACATGTAACACATCTTTCACTGTTTTGAAAGGACAATAAGTAGAGTATTTGAAAGGTTGATATTTATTCTATAAATAATTTATTGTTCAAAGATCGAGCATATGAGTAGAAGACACGATATTATTGTGAAATCGGCATGGTTCTTGTGATTTAACTGCCGTTCGAATTTTATTTTCTGTTTCGTCTGATTCATGTGCAAAACAAAAGTTTGATTAACAGCAGCATAAACGAAAAAGAAAAACAACAATGACAACTTTAAGCGGATTGTGTTGGTGCTGTTGTTGTTGATGATGGTTGGGTTGTTTGTTGTTCTTCTTGGAGACGATGTTTCTTGAGTGGACCCATGAAGTTGCGTTTTTCTTCGTGAGTTTGAAATCGACCATGTCCGAATTTGGACGATGTATCGATGAAACGTAAATCGATTTGTTCCCGATGTGAACGTTTCGGATTGAGAATCAATGATTTACGTAAAGTAATTGGACGTTTCTTTGGACCAATGCAACAACCTTTGATCATGATGAAATCTTGTTTAACTTCACCGTAATGTGGGAAACCACCCTACAATAACAAAGATCAATAGAATAAAAATAAATTGCAAGAAAAGGATTGCTGTACCATTGGATTGATGGTTTTTTCTGTTGGATCATGGTCAGTTGAACCGGTGTTTTTCACTGTTTTACCATCTTTGACTTGAATAGCATCGCCGATACGGTAGATCTTCTTGTTGATTTCTGTGCGGTGATGGTAACCTTTTTGACCAGCACGTGCAACAGATCGTGAAACATGGGCTGGATGCCAAGCACCAATACAAGCAACTTTACGTAAACCTTTGTGTGTTTTACGTGGTAATTTTCTTGTATGCCAACGTGATGTGACACCTTTGAAGCCGCGACCTTTGGTGACGGAGATGGTATCGATCATTTCGTCTTTAGAGAACACTTGGGTGACGGGTACTTGTTTTTCTAAATGTTCGCGAGCAAAAGCAATCTTTTGTTCGACGGTACCACCGTTCAATTGAATCTCCATGATGTGAGCTTTCTTTTGTCGTTTACGTAACAATTTCATTTGTGTATGAGCTAACACACGGATAACTTTACAGTATTTTGCCATTTGTTTGAAGTCATTGTCAAGTGCTTTCTTTCCGGCGTCATCATTCCATTTTTGTGAATATTTCGAGAAAGCTTTTCGTTTCGACGAATACCAGTTCTTGTAGAATCGTCGACGACATTCTTCGTTCAAGTGTTGAGCATAGATAGTTTTGTATGCACGAAGACCACGTGGTGTAACGATGTAACCAACAACACCAACGATGACCATGGGCGGTGTTTCGATGATGGTTACAGCTTCGACAGTTTCTTTTTTGTTCAATTCTAAATTAGTTCACAGAAAACAACGGAATTGAATTAGATTGACTCGTGGAAAGAAAAACATCGCATACTTGAAGCTGGACGATCGACTTCACGAACAATGTGCGTCATACCCGCTTTATAGCCGAGGAAAGCGGTAAGATGAACTGGTTTTTTGGGATCATCTTTTGGAAATGATTTCACTTTGCCACGATGACGACGTGCTCGCTTTTTCGGTAAGAATCCAAGATTACCATGACGGGGATGTTCGAATTTTCGATGACTCATGCTGATGTTTTATATGAGACTTAACTATTCTTGATGTTCGATCTGAAATAGACGTGACATGAGCAAAATTTTCTAATGAAATATAAAAACTAAAATGAATTTGTGGAAATCAATCCAAATAAACACGGACGATACGATGGGTTTTTAATGGAATTTAGAAATTCAGTAAATCCACTCTATTGAAGAAAATTGTAAGTTAAATTTTCATTGAAATTAATTAGAAAAACAAAATAACGCTTTTCATGAAAAGATATATCACTTTAAAGTTTACTTTTTATATTTATTCATCACGGTACGCGATAGAGGGCGCTATCAATCAAACCATCAACTTCAGACTTGTATAGATCGCAACCGCACCGGTATCTGAGAATTCCACTCGTGAAAATCACACCATTTCCTATCACTAAACATCATTATTCGTACATGTACACTTATCGTTGGTTCCATATTTTCTATTCACATTTGTAGGCCGTTAGTTATTCGCACGCAGCAAACTTTCTCAACGTTGAGCACGAGCTAGTAAACTGTTCACAGAGAATTAATTCGAATATAATCAAGTCAGGTAACTTTCTTAACACGTAGACGAACTCTGAACTACTCACGCCTTTAATTATTCTCACAAATTAGAAGCATGATCGAGTGTGAGTAAGTTTGTTTTTCTTCAGTTTCTGTTTTTCGTTCTCCTTGTTGTATTCTACCCAATTTCTTAACATTACAGAACGTCATAATTAACCAGTATAAAATGAAAAAAAAAGTCATTACTTGTTACCTTCAGCGGCCGCCGTTAATTGTTTCGAAGCAAAACCTGACTTGGAACTGACATCTCTAAGGTTAGAAATTTTGTTTTTTTATTTCGAAAAATAAATCGTTCAAAATTGACTATGAAAAATGTTGGAACATTTTTTCAGACGTCAAACTCAACGGCTGATTCCGGCTACGAACGTACTCTGTCTCTGATAGTCACACATAGGAGAAAAAAAACGTCGATAAAAATTTCAATGAATATTCGAAGAAAAAGTCTAGTTGACTTGTAAATAAATCTGTTTGAACGGATAAAAAGTGTCCTCTGTCGACTATACACAAATGGGGATGGTAGGCGTTGTCGTCTTCCTATAATTTGTGGACGACAAACAAAAATATATGTATGGCTTATTCGCACTTCATATCATTTGTCCTGTTGTTATTTCGCTCGTATTTCTCATTGAAAGACATCTTCTTTTTTTGTGAAATTTATTTGAGAATTAGGGGAATATATTTTGTATCTAGTCGTGATTAGATAAGCAAAACAATGCAAATTATTCCATGAAATATGAGCTATTCCGGCTTGCATAGATGTAAATCATAGAAAAATGAGAATTTTCTTTTTTATTTGTTTGTTTTGTTTTTTTCGTCGAAGTTTTCCGTTTTCAAATTCTTACTCATCATTCATATTATTTATTTTCACTCTCAATTTTGAGCCCTCTATACCACTTGTACACGACTAGAAGATCAAATCATATGGAAGATCATATGTGGGTTAGGAGAGAAAAAAAGAAAGAAAAAGAACGACAAACAGCTGATTACCCTTTACAACAGCGTTAGCGAAAAAGGGCCATCTGTAGATGAGTAAGTAACTAGCATACATGTACAAAACGACCGGCTGTCCTATTCGCTCGCCGTGTTCAATCAAGGCAATTGATCAGAAAGAAATAATCAATATTATTTTCTCTCCTTCTCTTTCTCTCTCTCTTCCTATTGCGTTCTTTTTTTCACTGAATGTTTATACGAAACGAACGAACCGGTCTTCTATTCATGCGTAGAAATTATTATTTTTTCTTTTACACATGATGTTTATTTTTAGTGCTAATTTATCAGTGACATAGATGAGAGAAATGATAAGAATACTTTATTGAAATGAAGAATCTATATAAACTACAGCTATTATATAATGTCTTAACCAACACGAGAAAATATATTTTATCGAGCATTTTTTCATTTTCTTCAGGCGCACATTTTCCTTTTCTAAACTTTTGTGTTTTCTTCTACTAGGGTTTTTTTCTTGTAAACAATGTCAACGACCAACAACAACACAAGTTTCGATCCGAACGATCAATTGTCACCGTTTCTCGATCTTCACAATGAATCATCGTTCAGTTCGTGCTCATCATCGCCGCCAGCATCGTCATCCTTGAAAACTGTACAAAATCAGCATGAAAATGACTCCGGTTGTGGTAGTGATGACGATCCAGCATTAGCTTTAAAAATCAACAAAGGTCTTTCAATGGGTTACGACTATGAACTAATCAAAAGTGTTATCCAACAACAAAACGATGGTGATGATATGTCGAAATTCATCGAAACGATCGTACGTACAGCTGAAGTCAACAGTAATTCCAATGGTTCATCATCGTCATCGTCGCCACCACCCACTTTACCACCGATGTCGTCATCTTCATTGTCAAATAAAACATCTTCTCCAGTTACAACGGACACAGATTGTTCAGATACACCTATTCCGCACGATGTTTATATTATTGATGGTGCTGATCTTGCGTTTAGGTAAAACTTGTGCTCGAACTACGTATTGAGACTATGTTTTGTGTTTTAGCTATGGGAATAATACATTTTCATGGCGTGCGATTGAAATATGTTTGAAATATTTACATTCTCATGGACATAAGAAAGTGTTTGTTGTCTTGCCATATTCATTGAAAAATCATCGACATGATCAAAGCTTTTCCGAATCGAAATCTTTACGTGATCTCGAACGAAAAAATCTTCTTGTTTATACTAATCGAATGTCCAAGCAAACCCATAAGTCTAGCTCATATACACATATTAGTGAAATGTTGAAATTCTCTCAGAAAACCAAAGGACATTTGATCACGAATGTTTCGCTCAAAGATGTTATCCTGGATTTTACGATCTATAAACAAATTCTCGAAGAAAAAGTCATTCGCTATCGATTTCAAAACGATAAGTATAAAGACAAGTTTTGAATCTTCATCAAACGTTATTCACCTCCTCTTCTTGTTTAGTTTCCAACCATTATTAGTAACAATTGTTAATGATGAAGATGGCAATGATTGTGAAACACACTATCCACTCTGTCCATATGGGAAGAAATGTACCTATGGTTTGAAATGTAAATACTATCACATAGAACGGCGACATCAAAATCCTTTATCGATTACGGAAACTTTACAAATGAAAGCCCGATTAGAGAAATCGAAAATTCAACATCAGCTATCAACACCATCGATGATGGTCAACAATGGTTAGTCAAATAGTTACAAAATCTGTTACCAAATTGAAATTTTCGTTCGTAGGATTCAATCATACAAAATCCGGACCTGATCATTTACATATGTATTCATCTCAAATGATGGAACAAAGTTTAGTGGATGATGCTCGACTCGCTTATGAATATGGTTTGACATCGACACCTATATCAACGGATTTCGCATTTGTTGATCAACGCATTCCATCAAATCAACAGCCCAGACCGACACATCAGAGTTGGTTCGGTGCGGCAACTCCGCAACATCCATTCATGAATCGAACGTTTTCCATGCCTCAACAGCAACAAATGAATGAAATGGCAGCAGCCATGTTTATGCATCAACAACAGCAAAATTGGGCTCGACAACAGATGTTTCCTATGCAACAGCCTCAACAGTTCGAACAGGTAAGAACGTGTATGTGTTTTCTCCTTCTTCGTCGGTAGCATTCCGAGATTGATACGTAAGATGTCTGAAGGAAACGTCTCTGTATGCGCAGGTCTGATTAATTTCGATGATATCCATTGATAAATATGTTTCATTTAATTTTCGATTCGGTCTAATATGATATTCTTGTGTGAAGGATGTCTGATCAAATCGAGACCTCGATCACAATTGCAACGTATGTAAACAAGGAGTGTTCTCGATCGTTGATGATATCGAACAGGAAAATGTTTTAAATATCATCATCGATTAATGAAAATGTAAATTAGAGTTCTTAATTAAACAATAACAAGAAAACATAGTCGTCGTTTCGTTTTTCCGTTCGTCAGCAGAAACACAATCTGAAATTTGCATCGAGCAAGGAGACTAAACACTTGATATTAGATCAGACACAAACAAACTGCTGAATTCGATCGTGTTTTTTTAGAATGTTCTTCGATTTCTTTCAATGCTTTCGTTACAACAACAACAACAGCAACAAACGAACACGAATTCCATGACGACGCATCCGCAAGTACAAGATGGTTCATATGATCATTCATCTGTAAATAGTCAACAAGGTTTAGCTGACAAGATTCAAGCTGTACGTCACCTCTGGGAAAGCGAAAACGTTCAGCAGCAACAACAGCCGCAACAACCACCATCTACGTTCGATCCGAATACTTACAATTCAATGATGTCCACCTTTCAACATCCAGCGCAAAGTTTTTTTCACTACAATTAATCGCTAAACGAGAAGAGAGAGTTCATTTCTCTTCATCTGTCTTTCAATTTATATATATGTTAATGTATTTGTGTTCTTTTTCTACTTATTTATTCGTCTATCCACATACATTCTTAGTATGTATTTGTCCGTGTGCTCTTCTCTATGCCACTTAGTGAACATTTTTTGGTGTTTAGTGTGTTTTTCTTCTTCTGTACGTACGTATGTAAGTTTTGTGCATTGTTATTGTACATAGAGATATGATGACATACATTGAAATGTATTTCCTAGATAGAGATGTATATGTGTGTAGTTAGATAAGATGTACATTAAACTCGCGCTACAAAAAAGCCAATCCCGAACAACTTCTTCTTGTGCCGTTTGTTTTCCTTGCCTTCTCTCTCTTTCGTGTTTTGCTTTGTCCGTTTTTGTTATTTTGTTTTTCATTCTAACTGCTCATATTTTCTAACTTATTCAAATATATACATCGGTTCGTTTCATATTGTCAATTTTATCTACTTATGGTTTCAATATGAAACGTTTCTAAACGGAATTTTCGATCATGTAACTATTCTAAAATTGAATTTAACCGACGTCATTGTCTTGACTGGTGATCCGGTCTATATAATCAGAGTTCAATTTAATATTTGTAAGATAAATGCTATTTTTCATTTGCAAAATTCATTTCCTGAGTCGTTTAGAATATTAAAATAAAGACTGTTGACTCAAGTTAATGAAAAAGGAGCTCATCCCTAAGACATTTGTCATTTCTTCGCAGCACGTTTCAAGTTTCTTTTGTCTGTTTACTTTGATGCTAATCAGTCAAACAATAGGCGGGTTTCCTCTATTTCACCTGTACTGGGTAAAAGACGAAACATTCGTTTCATAGCTTTATCATAACATCATCCAAAGTTCTGTCCAACGCGGCAATATGTAATACAGTAGCTAAAACTTTTGCTGGTAATGCCTTTTATGAAAAAATGGTATGTATGATAAAACTATTTCATTTGAAGTTGATTGATCAAAAGATCGTCTCGATAGTTTTATGAGAAATAATCCTTTTTCAAATCCAATCTATGTTTGAAACTGATTCTCTATTTTATCTTCAAAATTTTACTGTATACTTTCTGCGTAAGTCTTGACATCCGTAAACCTTTTCAATCTACCATACACATATAATCTATTGGCTTTACTAAAATTAACTCGCGTTGCATTCCTTATCGAATTGGATGTTACTGATTGTAAAGACTGATAAGCGACGGCGAGACGAATATCACCTGCTAGATAAGTTATCGTATTGTCTAAAAATTGTTCAATGTGATCATGATGAGCATTTACGAGAGTGAGTAAAATAAGATAGGGATAATCAATAATTGGTAAATGTTCAGTTTTCAATTGTTTATTGATTTGTAGTGATTCATTTTCGAAAACTAATGTTCTAGGAAATGAACATGCTTGAGCAATGCGAAGGAAAAATTCGAATTCGAAAGAATGTTCATCGTAAAGAAATACGTGCCAAACAGATTTGAATAATCCATCTGGGAAACTATTTGATAATCTTCAAGACCTTTGAATGTCTTGATTTGATGATAAATCAATAGCAAAATCAGGATATTCTGTAATCGAATGAATACTGAACGAAAAATTTTTTAACTTTGGCATGTGACAAATAATATCTGTTTTCAAATTATCTTCATCAAGAAAAGGTTTAAAACGATTATAACCCAGATGATGAAATACACCCTGAACACTATGAAAATGAATCTAAACGATTTTCTTCATTCAGATTTATATGAGACAGGAGAGAAGATCTATTTTACACAAATAGGACATGATTTGTGTTCAATGTTGTTTTGTAACTGTCATATGTATCGAATTGTCGATTTTATCAAAAATACATTTCTGTTGTATTGTGTGTTTACAATCTGAGCTATGTCATTTCTAATTCGTTCCTAAAATTCACAAATTCCGCTTGGTTTTTATTAAAACAACTATTATTGCTTGAATAATACAAAACTTCATACGAATCGCCTATATTTAGGCCATATCAATAGCTTTCGAAAGTAAATTATTGATTTGATCCTGTTGTAAATTTGCTACATTTGTAGCACGAGCAAAAATTTGTGGAGCCTTTCCAACTTGGAATGCTTCAAACCAACGGGATGCACATAGACACCATTTATCACCTTCTTTCAGGCCGGGAAATGAAGGCGGATGAGGTGTCGATAAATCATTTCCTTTTGAGCGAGTAAAATCAAGAAATTCTTGTGTCATTTGTGCACAAACGGTATGTAAACCATAATCATCGGGACATGTCGCACAATAACCTCAAAATAAGCAAATATATCATGTTTTTCGCTTACGAAATCATCTGGAAATAAATACCATTACGAAAATAACCGGTCAACGGTGAATTCGAACACATTTCAAGAGGCGTACCGGTTAAACTTTGGAATGATTGATTTCCATTGAGTGCAAAACCACCGTTAATCGTCATTTCTTTTCTTTTTCAATGAACGAAAGATCTAGATTCGAATAGATTAAATTGTCTTTAGTGCAGAAGAAACGAAAAATAAATACAAAACGAGAGAGTTACATATTGACATGAATGTTATTGTTTTTTCTCTTTCAGATTTGAACATATAGGAAAACAAACAGAAAATTCGCATTAGTGTGTCCCTTTTTGGTCTATAAGTGCATTTTATTTCCTTCAATACTGAGTTTGACTATAGGCATGGGCTTGGAGAGTCGTTTTCGATCTTGTTGACGTCGTTTGAGTTCATCTAACCGGGAGATGGTCTTCTTTTTACCGTCACCCTAGATAAACGGTAGATGGATACAAATGAATAGAGCGAACAAGATCAAAACCTTTTTGTCGGAATATTCGACTGTTGAAACGGGACGAATAACATAATCTTTATTAGATGGTCGCGGTACACGAGCACGTGGACAATCTTCTTCGTTTAAGTCATCGTCATTGCCTTGGCGTCTAAAGAAAATTCGTTAAATGTAAGATTTAGTTTATCATTTGTATTTCGACAGCGTACTTGCTACTCGCGAAAGGCAAGTCCATATCTGCACTACGATTTTTCGGTTTTCCCGTTTGAGAGGTTTGCCGTTTGAGTGACGCTTGATCAGCATCACGTTGTTGTCGTTCTTCACGAGTCAAATGTTTGTAATCTGTATCCAAATTGAATATTGGCCGTGCCCAATCATCTAGAACCAATCACGAGCGTTATCTACTGATTTCGACAAGAAGAAAATGGATAATTACGAATGATTTTAATCAATTTGATTTTATTCTCTTTTGTTTCTCGTGGATGCTTGTATAGGTGCATTAAAGCTTTACCGATGCCGCTATCGCGCAATGCATCAACATTAATTCCTCCAAACTACAGTTAAGAACGAAGAAAATCGTGAAGTGTATGATAATTTATCAATGAAAAGTTACTTGTTGTAGAATTCTAATAAGAGATTCACGAATTTTCATATTGGGTAAACTTTTATCCGGTAACGGACTGAGCCAATCCTAGGTATTCAATGAAAGCCTGTTTTCTGCATACATCTCAACTCGTCTGTTACCTTGAACACTGTCAAAACTCCATTATCGAGAAAGATTTCAGTCAAATCTGCTCGACATAGTTGTTGTTCAACAATTGGCAATAGTAGAAGTTTTGCTGTTGCTGGTTGTCGATTCTTATTGAAAATACGATCTTCTTCGGTTGCAATTTTCATTTGTTCAATCAGTTTCGAAACAAGCTTATCGGCATCGGGACCTGCGAGATCAATAACATCGCCACCTCTTCCATCGCGACGACGATTACCACGACGTCTCTCAGCTTTCTTCTCCAGGTATAAATCAATGTCGTAGATGATATTACTAAATAAAAATCAATATGTAATCTTTTCCGGAATTTTATGGATCGGTCAGACGTACCTTTTCCCTTTCGCTTGGTTGGCCTTGGATGATGATTCATCACCACCATCGTCATCTTCTTCTTCACCGTCATAAGTTTGTTGTTGATCCATCTCTTCTTCGTCCACATTCTGTTCATCCCCTTTATCATCTTGGAGATCTTGTAACTCAGCGGCAACCTCTTCTTGGTCACTATTACCTTCCTATACGAAATTTCCCATTCAGAGAAAGAAGAAGCTATGACGCAATATATATATGTATACCTCGTTTTCATTGCCATCTTTGCCAAAGATATCATCCATCACATCGTCAACATCAGATCTAAATGTCAAATGACATACAGTCAATTTTGCACTGAACTATGTTGTAAACACATACGTTGCTTCATCGTTGGTTTTTTCTTTTTCTTCGACTTCTTCAGTTTCCTCTGCGTCGTCGGATGTTTTTCGAAAACGTTTCGATTTCTTTTCATGATGATGGTGATGCCGATGTTCATCACTTCGCCGTTTATGCTTTTTAGGTGATTCTTCATTGTTCGTACTGAAAAGAAAATGATTTATAGAACAGATATGAAGTTCTTGACAAATAAAAACAATTTACATGAATTGCTTGAGGAAACTACGATTTTTCTCTTTGCTAACAACACCAGTCGATTGCGTTTCTTGTTCGTCTTCGTTATCAGAATCGTTCATAATTTGCACACGGCGACGTGATTGTGACTGGCTCTTCTTCGCACTTTCATCGTCATCGTTATCCTGCTCTTCATCTTCTTCTTGTTCCTCGTTGTCATTCACTGGTGAACTTGGTCCTGCTTCATCATCATTTTCTTCTTGCTGTTCTTCGTGGTCAGATGTTTCTTCCTGTTCTACATTTTCGTCTTCGTCCATACCAGTTGGATATGAACGTTCTTGCGTTTGAGTAAAGACTAGATAGAAAAACAAATCAGCTAGATAATACAACTGGAAAACACAACATACCAGGTTCATCTGTTTCATTTTCTTCAGGTTCAGGCGATTGTGGTCCTTCGGGCTCTTCACTTTGCTGCTGTTCATCTTCTTCGTCATCATTGGCATGTTGCTCATCATCCTCGTCAACTGTCTCTGCGAAATGGCCATATCCTTGACTAGCTGCCTGAGTAAATGGATTTGGTGCTTGACTCATCTAAAAAGAATTCAATCGAAATAGAAACACAACGTCCCAATATGAATGATCATAAGAAATGATTGTGGAAATTTCCTTGCAAATTTCGATTGAATTGTTCTGTTTTGTATGATATCCAATCAAATTACAAGCAAAGATGCCGCTGTCGAGACTGACCTGTATCGATTCCAAGAGATTCAACTTGTTTGGAAATTTGTTAATACGACTATCTAGAATAACACAAAAGAAAGCTACTAGAATTTCCATGTACTTATTCGAATAAGAGAATGTTTTGCTGAAGTTTGGCTTTTTTTAATATAATTAAAGAAGAGAAAAACTAGAGAAGTTTAACATCGATAAAAAGGAACAGAATGATAGATGGCCAAATCAAAAGAGAGAGAGAGAGAAAACCCAAAACTACATATACACAAAAAGAGAAATGAACGTTGATCAAAACGAAAGAACTATATAGAACAGACTCTTTGTCTTCTTAATTTTGATTAAATAATCGTCGGTCATCGTATATTTTAAGAATATGAATAGATTTTATTTGCTCTCGGAGTTTTGTCAAAGCGCGCAGACAAATCAGATGAGTAAATCGAAGAGAAAGAGATAAGTTAGAAGATATGTATACGTATAAACATGGAATTTTTTTTCTGTACAAACAAGAAAATGTTCACGAAAGTAAAAATGCATATTGACCATCTCGTATTGCAGTTGTCAGTTTTGCTTTCATGATTTCTTTTGATGAATAATCTGGCAATTTGAGATAGTTGACACAGGTCATGACACTTGGCAAGAACGAATCAGGATTGGTATTATCACTATTATTTTCTGCTGTTTTTCGTACAATCGTCAATGGTGGATGTAACATTCGAAATCCTTGAAAAATGATCCTTAGAAAAGCGCGTTTCAGTGCTTCATTTGTACTTACCTCCGACTGGTAAACGTGGACTGCCAGTCACAAATTGTAGGAATGCTCGTTGTTCATCAATGTCGAAATTCACCATTATATCGAATAGCCATTTCACTGCTCGACTATTCAAATTATACCCGTGATCACAACGTGTTGATTCGAGCAAGACTTTCAGATCCCAGAGTTCGGTTGATCCACTGCCACAGAATACTTGATGAAGCTAAATAAAATCTCGCAAATAGTATCAACAATTTTCTATCCAATTCGACGTACTTCATCAGGATAAAAGCAATTCAAATGGTGAATAGGAAAGATTGAATTAAAACCATCGCGAAACGATTCAAACTGACGTCGAACGCCTTCGACCAATGTCCAATGGACAACCAACTAAAATCGAGAGATCAATTGTAACCAGGAAATATTTCATCGATTGCTTTTCAACTTACATTCACATATTGATCGAGATTGTAGATTGTTACTAGACAATCCTTTCCATTTTTCTTCAATTCGATATTCGGATGGCCAGGTAAAGTAAACACCAACGACAAATCATCGATTTTACATCCGTCGAGATGCAATCGTTCGTCGTTTTCATCAAAACTATTTGTACACGGCGAACTTTCTTGTTGACAATCATCTCTGGACTTGAGTCGTTTCTTTATTGCCGATTGTCTATTCGTTGTCGAATTTTGCGACATCAGAGTATCACGCGCATGAACAATCGATTGTAGTTTTTTAAATTGTTCATACAGGTTCGCATCAATGTGTATTAAATCTTCAAGATTTAATGATTCTTCTTGTCCTAATACCCATTTATAGAATACAACGCTAAATGGCATATCAATCTAAACACACGACGATCATATCAAGAATTGCTCAATAGAAAAGTAAAATATTTACCATTCTCGAATCCATCAACGCTTTAGCCATGAACTTGCCGAGAAATTTAAATTTCTGACGAATTTTGGTCATGGTACTCGCTTTAGCATTTCGACCGAGTGGAGCTGGATAAAGGCCACTACGATTATCTACATATTCCGATATAATTGTATCTTTATCTGTAAAGAAAATAGAATGAAGATTTCAGTACTTATTTTTCGCAAAATTTACCTTTCATCGAATCGAAGGTCTTATCTGTTCGCCATAATTCCAGTCCATTCTTTTGTAGTTCCTTCGATAACAATGAGTACGCTTCTAATGTTGGTCCAAGACCAAAACCGACCTAAGCACACAAAAAATCTTTCAGTAATATAGTCAGGCAGATTATTTAGGTCATGTTACTTCATCTTCATATTGAACTTCTAGGAAATGTTTGGAGTTCCAATTATCGAGAATTTTCTCCATTTCAGCTAGAATATTTCCTCGAGACAACTGGACTTTTTTTCTTTCAATTCTTGGGATAATTGATTGACGATCGGTTTGGTCATTAGTATGTTGTTGAGTTAAAATATCTGAACTATCTAGAAGTCGTTGCATTGCACGTTCTCGATCAAACGCACATGGATAGAAGAGCATTTGTCGAGTTTCGAACGGAAATAGAAACGAACATGTATAACCCATTTCTGTGATCCAAGATGGAATTTGCCCCATCATGATTACAACAGGATCTTGTAATTGCCGATTGACTTTCGAAGTTAATTTGGCTGAGAAGAATTCATTTTTGGATGTTAAAGTTAACGTCGAATTCGGATGGTTTAACATTGTGTTCGTGTCGTAGAAAAGATCGTACCAGTGTAGGTTTAAACCATTTAATATTCGGAGGAGAAATATTGCATTTAGTGAGAGATCATTGATTGTTAACATGGATGAAATTGATTCGTTGAGAGCGGAAGTGAGAAGAGATTTGGGCTTTGAACATTGGCCGTTAATCCATAATTCATCGATACCAGGAAGTGTCGAAGTACGTTTCGGAGCTTTGACTGATTTTTTAGAAGAGCTTTGTGGATGAGCGGATCGTCGTAAACGGGTAGATGATGCCGCCGCACTTGCTCCACCAATAGCAGTATTCACAGCAGGTACAGTCGATGAAGTATTACTAACTTGACGATAGTTTATTGTATGTACACGTGTCCACAATGCTGATGATGAAAATATTGATTCATCTGTATCAGTTTCTGATTCGTTATCACTAAAATAGGATGCAATAATACTTCCACCGATTCGATAACAAGACAAAGACTTACCCTGTTCGTTGGGATGAAACGCTATACAGTCGAACAGCTTGATAAATAGTCATATTGTGTGGAATAACATGATCATTAATTAAAAACTCTAATCTCATCATCGACGACCGCGCTAAGACATTGATCACATCTTCACTATCGGATTCATTCGATACTTCGCTTTCTTCATCGTCCATTGTGTTTATTGGATCATCCTATAACAGAAGAAAAAACGTATGTGTAGCACAACCATATTTTCCCATTGATTATCATTATCGAACGATAAAGAATAGTGATCAATGATGCTTGAAATTTTGTTTTTCGGAGAAAATCTTCGTTCTCAAACTGGCAAATAGAATTTCAGTTTAGAAAGTCAATTCCTTTCTCCGTTAAGTGGATTCGAACAGATCATGAAAACTCATTTAAACAATTCAATTAAATCTTTCCATCACTAACCATCGTATTACTTGCAATACCGCGTAAAAGTAAGTATTTTTCAATTGCTGAAACGAGTGCAAGTGGATCTATTTTCACCGGACCACTATTCCACTGTTTCAATGTTTTACATTGTGGATGACGAATAAGATTACATTTCAATTGATGAGTTGTAAACAAACGAAGCGCAGAGCTATGAGCAGGTCGACCAGCAATGTCATTGACTAGACAGAAATCAATTGGATTAAACAATGGAATACATCTATATTTACCTCGAATTGGAAACTGTTCAAGTTGATTAATACATCCGTGTAGTTTTGTAATCAAATGGCTTAAGACATTGTGCTCATTTCGATGATGATTCTTGCCGTGATTGAGTTGACTATGTTGAAGTTCGATAAGATATTGCTTTAAAGCGTTATCATCATTTTCGATGGGTATATTAACAAAAATATGTAGAAGTTGCTTCAATCTTTCCGGTCGGTCGTTTGGTATGGAGATATCATCTGTTAAATATTGAAACAATTTTGTAATTAAACCACTATGAACCATTTCAAACGGTGAAACATCACCCTTTGCAATGATATTTGCAATGTCACGAAGTGCTTTATCGTTTTCCATCGGATCCTTGCCAACATGCAGGACATTGACAGCAGATGCTAGACGTTCGATAATTTGTAGAGCAAGATTAGATGTTGATGAGTTGTTGGAGAAATAGGTTGAACGAAATGCTTTGGCTTGGTTTTGAATCCATTCTTTCAATTTGGCTTTTTCTTGAGAGGATAAAACGATCTGATGTTGCTGAGGAGGTGTCACTTGATTGATCAGTGACGCAGCAACAGGTGTGGGGGATGTATAAACATACGACGGTGGTACGTAAACAGGTGGCCGAGGATAATAAGTTGATGGATCAAATGATGATGTTGGCCGGAAGAGAACTGGTGGAGGAAGAACGCCACGAGCTGGTCGACCCCGTCCAACATTGATATCGAGTGATCCAGTAGAAAACGAAGCACCGGTCTCTCGTCCAACCAGCGATCGTGATGAAAACTCTTCGAACATTGAACGAGTAGATGTTTTAGGAAGACGAGCACGCTGTGAACGTGTCTCAACTCTTGCTGTTACTGGATACGATTCCGAAGTCGTATAGTATCGACGTGCTGATGCTGCTGCGGTTGTTGTTGTTGCTGCTGCTGCCATTGTTGTTGGTTTCGGTATTTGCTCATCAATAGCTTCAATATGTGGTGCGGAGTGTTCATTTAAATGAGCAAGATCGAGTTGACTACGGCTTCCAGTTGTGTGACTACTGCGCGCTAAAGTCACATTTGATGATGATGATGATGATACGACACCGAAACCAATCAGGATTTCAATCTGATGGACAACACCTTCACGATAAAAGTATGCGGAAAAGATTTTTGGTAATTTTTTCATGAGAATTTCTGCCATTTGCAGCGCACTGACAACAATGCGATAATCCGAGGAGGCAAGCATTGATGCAATGTGAGAGGAAATCGATTGTTGCTTCAAGATAACTTCAAGTAAATTCGACGGTGAATAATAGATCATACGAAGTACAGCTTGTAAACAACGATGTTTAACAGCTGGACCAGCAGAAGAATAATATACTTCATAGAGTACTGTAAACAATGATTCTATAAATGTACTATACAACTCAATATTATCTTTCATCATTTCAGTTCGAGCATCGGACATCGAATTTGCTGTCGTTGCTGCTTGTCGCGGAGTATTTG